GTAAAATGAAGAAATTAAAGAGTGCGTCTTAGGAAATTATAAATATTATCCCATTTCCCTAGGTCCTTCTTATGGAATGAATGCTTGTGTCCCAAAATTCATGTTGAAATCCTAACTCTTAATGTGATGGTATTAGGAGACAGTGTTTTTGGAAGATAATTAGGATTAGATGAAGTCATAAAGGTTGAGCCTTCAGGAACAGGATTAGTGTCCTTAAAAGAGTCCTAAAAGAGCTTTGCCTACTTTGTAAGGATAGAGGAGAAGACTTAAGTTTATGAACCTGGAAGCAAGTCCTCCCTCACCAGACACTGATTCTGCCAGTATCTCTGTCTTGGAATTCGCAGTCCCCAAAACCCTAAGAAATAAATTTCTGTTGCTTGTATGTCGCGCCCTTTATGACATTTTGTTAAAGAGCCTGAAGTTACTAAGTCAGGAACTCAGGGAACTACGCTCTGGAGGCCAGTTGCTACTCAGTGTCTTCTCTCAGAGCACTGGAAATGGGCAGGAAGTGCTCAGAGAGGGTGCCAAATGCTAGGAAGAGACTGTGACTTTCACAGAGAAAGAGCTGAAGTTCTAAAATATAAGCAAACCCATGATTTTGAAATGGTGTACTGTAAATTCTCTTTTGAAACTGACAGAAATCACTAATCAAATTACACAGCCAGCATATTAAATTTACAGTCAGGACTATTTCTCACTTTCAAACTCAATTTTCAAATTTCTAGGAACTTGAATCTTTTTGATGATTTATGGAAATTAAATTTCTAAAACACACTCTTGTATAATTAGAGAATTACTTTGAATTAAAAGAAAAATTGTATTTTAACATTCTCGTGTTTGTCAACATCACACTTCTGTTAGAGTTGGAATAATTCAGTGTTTGAAAAATATGGAAAATAGGAAAATCATTCAAAAAATTTACAAAATGAATTCTTCCTTTCCTTTCTGTTTAGTGTTAACACATTCAATCAACGTAAATTTGTTTCTTGATACTGAAGTCGGGTGACTTTTCTCTACCAAGGGCCAATGAACCATTGAAAAAATATACCAGGTTCCAACAGTGACAATCAATTCTAACCACAGATGTAAACAGAAAATGTCTTTTGATTCCCACCCAAATAAAGATGACATTAAGTCAAATAAAAATATATTATTAGTCTTATATTACATGGTTGGTTAAAGGGAGATGAAATTAAAAAAGGATTTTATGGTTCAGTGGCCTGCCTCACAAGCACAAAGGCTTGAGTTCGATACCTGGTACCAGAAAAAAAAAGTGGAGGTGTGGAGGGGGTCAGTTTAAACTTTAACACATTTTATTTATCATCTCAAGTCACCTATCTCTTTCCTAGGATAATGTATACTAGCTTCAAAACATTCCATGGCATTAATTTTTAGCCTTCATTTTGTCACAATCCTTTATTCTCTAAAACCACATAAAAAAGATAGTTAAGAGGGTCATAAGCAGAAAAAGAAAAGTGTTACATGTACTTAAGAAGAAAAGACTAAGAAATCGTACCAATGAAATTCTTGGCTTAAACATACTGTCCAAATACTAACACCCTGTATGCCAAACAACTCTGAAACTTTCTATTGCCAGTCTTATTGTCTGATGGGTAATGTTATTAAGCTCTTCCCCACTGGGCTAAATGACAGTAGGAATAAAAGGTACAAGTAAAATAAAACTGACAGAGGAATAAAAGGTAAAGGTTCAGAAGAAAAATGTCCAACTCTGAATTACACCTTTTCAACATTATAAAACAAAAAGTCTGTCCACGTGAAAAATCAAAAAATTAAACCCATTTGATGAAATATAAACTCATATTTTGATAAATAAAATCTATATCCACAGCCTAACTTATTCCAGGGAAGCAAAGTTAATCATTAAATATTTTAAGATTTTTAACATTTACTTATTTCTTAAACTTTGAAAATGCTCTTTCAGAAACATTAAAAAAAAAAAAAGGTGTTGGTAACATGGGAAAGGATCAACAGGGGGCAAAAACAAAGACATCTTTCTAAATCTGGAGAAGTCAATGACATCAGGTAAACCAAGAATGTTTGCTTTAAATCGGGTGTGGTAGTGCAGTAAAACTCAAGGCCAGCCTGAATTACAGAGCTGTCTCTAAAAACCAAACCAAACTAAACCAAAACAAAAATTGTTTATTCCTTCCTGGAATAATGAAGGATTCCTGGAATAATGTTTGCATGGATTATATAGTCTACATAATTTAAAAACTGTCCTTAAAGAGGGGAGGTATCTTCACAGCCAAAAAAACCAGACCCAGTTTAAAAAGCATCATGGCATAGTATACAGCATTCATCAGGGTTGCCAGTGAGGCCTAAAGAATACACATGTATTCTGCATGATGATGTTCTTAGGGTTTATGTGATGGAACCTCCACCTCTGTATTTCTGGAGCTCTAGTGCATTTTTTCGGGGGAGGATACTGGGGATCAAACTCAGGACCTTAGGACTGTGAGGCAGGCTCCATGCAGCTGAGCTAAAAATCCCCCACCCTCTAATGCATTGTTTTAGCAGTGAGTAGTTAGCAGTCTTTGGGGATAGGGTCACACAACTCTCACTGTCACTATCTAGTCTCAAGTAAGTTACTGATAGAAAATGTTTCCTCATTTGTTAAAAAGAAGGATCACCTCTTTCATTGAAATGAAATGAATCGGTTCACTGACAAGGCTTTTTGTACCTTTAGGAGTATAACTCTACCTGACCCTTTTGGTCTACATTCAACCAATTATGGCCTAAAGTTTTACTGATTCCTATCAATCAAGACAATACAAAAACAAACAAAAAACACTAAAAGATTCCACACATTACTGGTGCCACAGAAACAATGACCAATAACAACAGATAAACTATCAGTCCAGAAAATCTGGTCAACCAGGTAAGTGACTCAGACCACATATTCAAAAGAAGTCCAAAGATTCAGATTCTTCTATTTTGCTGTTGGGGAAAAATACCTGGATTTGGTGGTAGATCCCAGAGGTCAAATCCACTTCCACCACTTACTGGCTTTGTGATTTTGAGGCTTAGTATCTCCAAGCCTTACTTTCTTCCTCTCTACCTGTTGTTCCTTCTACTTAGACTGATCCTACTGTCCTTGCACCCTAGTTAATCTGTACTCTTCTTTCAAAAGCTGGCTCAAGGACCAGAAAAGGTCAGGTCTCTGTTATTTTGTATTGAAACATACAATACTGTTCGTTTTCACAGATGATATAACCACTGTAATTAAATAATGAAGCTTATAATTAGTTGTTTAATGTCTCTTCTGCTAGCATGTTAGCTCCATGAGGGCAGGATCCCCAATGTAACCCCAGCACCTAGGACTGTGGTTGACACAAGACATGTACTCAGCAAATATATCTGCTAAGGAGCAAAGGAAGGGACGTTTTGTTCAAACGCCTAATTTTGCAGATTAAGAAGCTATGGTTATTGTGGGTTTGATTACAGAAACTAATAAAGTATTCTCTAAATAAGGAAAAAAAAGAATAAGATAAGACTATAAGAGCAAGAAGCAATTTAAATATGTTCAGGGACGATTTTCATCTCCAGAATTAAGGATTATTTTAATGTTACATCATTGCCTTTTCTCTTTTACTTTCCTTTTTAGTTTTATTTTAGAATTCCCTATTTTTAATGTTCATACAGAGATTTCTTTAACTGAAATACCGAAGTTTCTTTGGTGTGAAAAACTATAATAGTACACAGGATCCTAATGAGATAATTAATAATGTGAAATAGGAAGTAAAGGGCTAAAGGTGTAAGGAAAGTGGGAAGGGTGGGGGAAAGGTAATAAGGGAGAGGAAAAAAATATGAGAAACTGAAAAAATGGAAATAAAGTGTTTGTAAATGGGGAGGGGAGGAGGGGGTGAAGGGAGGGCAGGGACAAAGGGAAAAATGAGAATCAAGACCTATTATGTAAAGGTGCAGAATCCCAGTAATGAATGTAACTGTATTGTATACCTAAATTGTACCAATAAACTCAATAAAAAGAAAAAAAAAAAAGAAGCTATGGTTAGGAAACGTCAAGTGTCTTGCCTAAGGCTGGACACCAACAGTTCTTATTTTCAGGCCAATGTCCGTTACATTTAAACCTGAGATTCCTTTCAGCTCTAGCATTTATCTTTGGAAATTTAGAAGATGAAAATAAAGACGATAGGCACCTTTTTGGTACTTAATATTATCCCATTTCTTTATTTCCTTCCATTACATTAAACGTACACCTACTGGTTAAATGTATGTCGAAATAGAATTCCTTTAAACAAGGTATATCAATAAGATAAATGCAATGTTGAGAGGTACAAAGAATACAACTTAGTAATAATTAACTGTCCAGGAAGCAGTAGAGGACGGAATCACAGGGGCAACTCTTGATATAAACGTTAAAGGAGTTTGCCAGGTTGAAAAATAAAAATTCGAGGCAAAAGGAACCACACATATACAGTGGCTTGGCATCCATTCAACACACACTTAGTGAGTGCCTACCTATGCCCATGGCTCAAACTTCACAAATGATATTTTAGTCGGTATTGATACCGTGGAAAGGAAGCTGACAAATAGTGAAAAGCAGGGGTTAAGATCAGAGAGCCTTGTAAGCATGCTAAAAAGCAATCAGTACTTTAACACCACGGAAGACTTCTGAGCACGAAATACCACCGAAGACTTCTGAGCAAGAAGTGACAATCTTGGATTTCTATCTGTTTCTGAGTATCCGCTCATCTCAGATTACTCCCCGGACAGAGGAAATAAGACAGAAATATTATCTCTAAAATCTGCATGGGCCAAAGCAACACATGAAACGCCGTGATAGACTCAATCTTACAACATATTTGCTGTAACTCCAGGAGATGGTCAGGCAATAGTGATTACCCATAAATTAAAGAGTGCCAGCAGGAAGCTAGCTATGAGACAATGCCGGGCGCCCTAGGGATCCAGACACCACGCCGAGCGCCGCCCCATCCCACCCCGTGTGCGGAGACATTCACCTCTGCAAGTTTTCGATCTCTGCCGGGATGCTCTGCAGCTGGTTGCCGCCCAGGCTGAGGGTCTGCAGCGCTCGCAGCCCCAGGAGCGAGGCGGGCATCTCCTGGAAGCAGTTGCCGCTGAGGTTGAGCACCTGGAGACTGCGGCTTAGAGGCGACTGGGCCAGGCCCTTGGGCAGCGC